TTCTCTATTTCTACTTCTTATGGATGGCCGTTGCAATAAAAATCAAAGAAATGAAGATGAAAGAAATACTAGTGAAAATGAATAATAATTGAAATGCTTCATCTAAGAAGGCTAACAAGCAGGAGTCATTCAAATTTAGCCATATAGCTATATTCTCTACTTCTACTTCTTATGGATGGCAGTTGCAATAAAAAAGCAAGAGAAATGAAGATGAAAGAAATACTAGTGAAAAATGAATAATAATTGACAATGCTTCATCTAAGAAGGCTAACAAGCAGGAGTCATTCAAATTTAGCCATATAGCTATATTCTCTACTTCTACTTCTTATGGATGGCCGTTGCAATAAAAAGCAAGAGAAATGAAGATGAAAGAAATACTAGTGAAAAAATGAATAATAATTGGACAATGCTTCATCTAAGAAGGCTAACAAGCAGGAGTCATTCAAATTTAGCCATATAGCTATATTCTCTACTTCTACTTCTATGGATGGCAGTTGCAATAAAAAATCAAGAGAAATGAAGATGAAAATTTTCTACTAGTGAAAAAGATGAATAATAATTGACATTGCTTCATCTAAGAAGGCTAACCAGCAGGAGTCATTCAAATTTAGCCATATAGCTATATTCTCTACTTCTACTTCTTATGGATGGCAGTTGCAATAAAAAGCAAGAGAAATGAAGATGAAAGAAATACTAGTGAAAAATGAATAATAATTGACAATGCTTCATCTAAAAGGCTAACAAGCAGGAGTCATTCAAATTTAGCCATATAAGCTATATTCTCTACTTCTACTTCTTATGGATGGATTGAAAGAAATACTAGTGAAAAATGAATAATAATTGACAATTCTTCATCTAAGAAGGCTAACCAGCAGGAGTCATTCAAATTTAGCCATATAGCTATATTCTCTATTTCTACTTCTTATGGATGGCAGTTGCAATAAAAAGCAAGAGAAATGAAGATGAAAGAAATACTAGTGAAAATGAATAATAATTGACAATGCTTCATCTAAGAAGGCCCTAACAAGCAGGAATTCAAATTTAGCCATATAGCTATATTCTCTATTTCTACTTCTTATGGATGGCAGTTGCAATAAAAAGTAAGAGAAATGAAGATGAAAGAAATACTAGTGAAAAATGAATAATAATTGACAATTCTTCATCTAAGAAGGCTAACCAAATGGCAGAGTCATTCAAATTTAGCCATATAGCTATATTCTCTACTTCTACTTCTTATGGATGGCAGTTGCAATAAAAGCAAGAGAAATGAAGATGAAAAATACTAGTGAAAATGAATAATAATTTTAATGCTTCATCTAAGAAGGCTAACAAGCAGGAAAATATTCAAATTTAGCCATATATATTCTCTATTTCTACTTCTTATGGATGGCAGTTGCAATAAAAAGCAAGAGAAATGAAGATGAAAAAAATACTAGTGAAAAATGAATAATAATTGACAATGCTTCATCTAAGAAGGCTAACCACCAGGAAGTCATTCAAATTTAGCCATATAGCTATATTCTCTACTTCTACTTCTTATGGATGGCAGTTGCAATAAAAAAGTAAGAGAAATGAAGATGAAAGAAATACTAGTGAAAATGAATAATAATTGACAATGCTTCATCTAAGAAGGCTAACCAGCAGGAATCATTCAAATTTAGCCATATAGCTATATTCTCTACTTCTACTTCTTATGGATGGCTTTGCAATAAAAAGCAAGAAAAATGAAGATGAAAAAAAATACTAGTGAAAAATGAATAATAATTGACAATGCTTCATCTAAGAAGGCTAACAAGCAGGAGTCATTCAAATTTAGCCATATAGCTATATTCTCTACTTCTACTTCTTATGGATGGCAGTTGCAATAAAAAGCAAGAGAAATGAAGATGAAAGAAAAATACTAGTGAAAAATGAATAATAATTGACAATGCTTCATCTAAGAAGGCTAACAAGCAGGAATCATTCAAATTTAGCCATATAGCTATATTCTCTACTTCTACTTCTTATGGATGGCAGTTGCAATAAAAAAAAAGAGAAATGAAGATGAAAAAGAAATACTAGTGAAAAATGAATAATAATTGACAATGCTTCATCTAAGAAGGCTAACAAGCGAGGAGTCATTCAAATTTAGCTATATAGCTATATTCTCTATTCTACTTCTTATGGATGGCAGTTGCAATAAAAAGCAAGAGAAATGAAGATGAAAGAAATACTAGTGAAAATGAATAATAATTGACAATTCTTCATCTAAGAAGGCTAACCAGCAGGAGTCATTCAAATTTAGCCATAAAAGCTATATTCTCTACTTCTATTTAATGGATGGAAGTTGCAATAAAAAGCAAGAGAAATGAAGATGAAAAAATACTAGTGAAAAATGAATAAATAATTGACAATGCTTCATCTAAGAAGGCTAACAAGCAAAAAATTTAGTGATATAAAATTCTCTACTTCTACTTCTTATGGATGGCAGTTTTTGATAAAAATGCAAGAGAAATGAAGATGAAAGAAATACTAGTGAAAAATGAATAATAATTGACAATCAAATTCTAAGAAGGCTAACCAGCAGGAGTCATTCAAATTTATTCTCTATAATCTCTACTTCTACTTCTTATGGATGGCAGTTGCAATAAAAAGCAAGAGAAATGAAGATGAAAGAAATACTAGTGAAAAATGAATAATAATTGACAATGCTTCATCTAAGAAGGCTAACAAGCAGGAGTCATTCAAATTTAGCCATATAGCTATATTCTCTACTTCTACTTCTTATGGATGGCAGTTGCAATAAAAAGTAAGAGAAATGAAGATGAAAGAAATACTAGTGAAAAATGAATAATAATTGACAATTCTTCATATAAGAAGGCTAACCAGCAGGAGTCATTCAAATTTAACCATATAAAATATTCTCTACTTCTACTTCTTATGGATGAGAGTTGCAATAAAAAGCAAGAGAAATGAAGATGAAAATAATACTAGTGAAAAATGAATAATAATTGACAATGCTTCATCTAAGAAGGCTAACAAGCAGAGTCATTCAAATTTAGCCATATAGCTATATTCTCTAACAATATTCTTATGGATGGCAGTTGCAATAAAAATTAAGAAAAATGAAGATGAAAGAAATACTAGTGAAAATGAATAATAATTGACAATGCTTCATCTAAGAAGGCTAACAAGCAGGAGTCATTCAAATTTAGCCATATAGCTATATTCTCTACTTCTACTTCTTATGGATGGCAGTTGCAATAAAAAGCAAAGAGAAATGAAGATGAAAGAAATACTAGTGAAAAATGAATAATAATTTCATTAAGCTTCATAAAAGAAGATTGCCATTGTGGGGTCATTCAAATTTAGCCATATAGCTATATTCTCTACTTCTACTTCTTATGGATTTACCAAATTATAAATAAAAAGGAAGATTTATAAGATGAAAAGAAATACTAGTGAAAATAACATAATAATTGATTTAATGCTTCATCTAAGCTGGCTAACAAGCAGGATCATTCAAATTTAGTTCAAATAAATCAATCTCTACTTCTACTTCTTATGGATGGCAATTGCAATAAAAATTAAGAGAAATTTAATGAAAACAAATACTAGTGAAAAATGGTTAATAATTGAATTGCATGAAGGCTAACAAGCAGGAGTTCATTCAAATTTAACCATATAGGATTATTCTCTACAGATACTTCTTATAATTTGCAATAAAAAGCAAGAGAAATGAAGATGAAAAGATATAATAAATGAATAATAATTGACAATGCTTCATCTAAGAATTTCTGAAAAATTTAAAATATAGTATCTTTCTACTTCTTATGGATAGCATTGCAATAAAAAAAGAAATGAAGATGAAAAAATACTGTGAAAATGAATAATAATTGACAATGCTTCATCTAAGAAGGCTAACAAGCAGATTTCATTCAAATTTAAGGATAATATTCTCTATACAAACTTCCTTATGGATGGCCGTTGCAATAAAAGCAAGAGAAATGAAGATGAAAATTAAAAGTGAAAAATGAATAATAATTGACAATGCTTCATCTAAGAAGGCTAACAAGCAGGAGTTCCATATAGATATTCTCTACTTCTACTTCTTATGGATGGCATATGCAATAAAAAGCAAAAAAAATGAAATTTTTCTGTAAAAATACTAGTGAAAAATGAATAATAATTGACAATGCTTCATCTAAGAAGGCTAACAAGCAAGGAGTCATTCAAATTTAAAAGAAATTATATTCTCTACTTCTACTTCTTATGGATGGCAGTTGCAATAAAAAAGCAAAAAAATGAAGATGAAATACTAGTGAAAAATGAATAATAATTGACAATGTTTCATCTAAGAAGGCTTGAAGCAAAGTGTAAATTTAGCCATATAAGATATTCTCTGCTTCTACTTCTTATGGATGGCAGTTGCAATAAAAAACAAAGAAATGAAGATTAAAGAAATACTAGTGAAAATGAATAATAATTGCAATGCTTCATCTAAGAAGGCTAACCAGCAGGAGTCATTCAAATTTAGCCATATAGCTATATTCTCTTATTCAAGGGTTCTTATGGATGGCAGTTGCAATATAAAAAGCAATGTTAAATGAAGATGAAAGAAATACTAGTGAAAATGAATAATAATTGAACATGCTTCATCTAAGAAAATGAAACCAGCAGGAGTCATTCAAATTTTCCCATAACAGCTATATTCTCTACTTCTACTTCTTATGGATGGCAGTTGCAATGCAAAAAAGCAAGGATGGGATGAAGATCAAAGAAATTTTAGTGAAAATGAATAATAATTTTTTTCATTAAGAAGGCTAACATAACAGTCCTCTCCTAGTTTTTTCTTTAGCCATATAGAAATATTCTTTCTTAATTCTTTTGCGTTTGAATAAAAAAAAGCAAGAGAAATGAAGATCTAAAAATTCTAGTGAAAAATTAATAATTGATCTTCATCTAAGAAAATTAACATTTTTAATTTAGCCATATAGCTATTTCTTTTCTACTTTTTATGGATGCAGCAGTTTCTGAGGAAGATTCTTTTGAAAAATGAATAATAATTGACAATGCTTCATCTGAAGGCTAACAAATTTTTCAGAATTTAAATTTTATATCTAAAACTACTTCTTATGGATGGCAGTTGCAATAAAAATTTTATAAATAATTTTCTAATGTTTTTTTTTTTCATTTGATTTTGTGTTTATTTCCTATTTTATAAGAATTTGTTTTTCATCAGAATAATTTTTTTTCTTTCTTTTTTTTTTTGCTTAAATTCATCCTTCTTTTTGATACATCTCCAATATTTTTTATTTGTATATTTTAAAAAAAAAATCTCCCAAAAGCCTACATTTCCCATAATCATCAATTCGGACTTTGAAAAAGCCCCCTCCGTTTTTTTCTTTAAACTGAAGTTAACGATTAACTGGCGCATTAAATTTGTCATTTCTCTTTATTATTCTATCATAATATATTTTTTCTATTTTTTCATTCTTTTTTACGATATATTTCTATCTTTTTCAAAAGAGACTTTTGTTTTCCTTTTTTTGCACGAACTTTTTAGCTTTTTTTCAAACTTTATTCTTTTCTTTCTTCTTTCTTTTCTTTGTTTCTTTCTTTCTTTCTTTCTTTCTTTTTTCCTTTCATTTGACCTTTTTGTTTTCCACCTTTTTAGTTTTCTTACTCTATTTCTCATTTCTTTCTTTCTTTTTTTCTTTCTTTCTATTTTGTTTGTTTTGTTCCTTCATTTCTTTCTTTCTTTCTTTCTTTTCCTTCCGATTTTTGCCTTTTTTTGTTATTTTCTTTCTTTCTTTTTTTTTATTTCTTTTTTCTTTCTTTCTTTAATTCTTGTTTATTTGTTTCTTTCTTTAAGTCTTTCTTTTTTCTTTGATTCTTTCTTTTATTTCTTTCTGTCTTTCGTTTCTTTCTTTCTTTCTTTCTTTATTTCTTTATTTCTTTTCATCTGTCTTTCGTTCTTTCTTTCTTTCTTGTTCTTTCTTGTTTTAAAAACAATTCTGTCTTTCAGAAAAAAAGGCTTTCTTTCTGTTTGGTTTCTTTTCAAAAAAAAATTCTTTTTTGCTCTTTTGTTTTTGTTTAGAATCTTTCTTTCTTTCTTTCTTTCTTTCTTTCTTTCTTTCTTATTTCTCTTCTTTCTTTTTTTTCTTTCTTTTTTTCTTTCTTTATTTCTTTCACCAAAATTTTTTCTGTCTTTTTCGTTCTTTCTTTCTTTCTTTCTTTATTTCTTGTTTATTTCTTTTCTCTGCAAAGGTCTTTCTTTCTTTCTTTATTTCTTTTTATTTCTTTCTGTCTTGTTTTTCTTTCTTTCTTTCTTTAATTCTTTTATTTTCTTTTATATTCTTTCTTTTTTATTTCTTTTCTCTTCTTTCTTTTTTTTCTTTCTTTCTTTATTTCTTGTTTATTTCTTTCTTCTTTCGTTCTTTCTTTCTTTTTTTTGAGTTATTTAACTTTCTTGTTTCGTTTTTTTTTTTTTTCTTTCTTTCTTTATTTCTTATTTTATTTCTTGTTTTTCTTTCTTTTCAAAACTGCTTTTTCTTTTCTTTCTTTCTTTCTTTCTTTTTTTTTTCTTTCCTTTTTTCTTTTATTTCTTGGATATTTGCTTTCTTTTGTGTTTTACTTTAAAAGACTTTTTTCTTTCTCTTATTTCTTTCTTCTTTTCTTTCTTTCTTTCTTTATTTCTTGTTTATTTCTTTCTGTCTTTCAATTAAAAATCCCTTCTTTCTTTCTTCCTTTCTTTCTTTTCTTTTTTTTTTTCTTTTTTATTTTTAGACTCTCTTTCGTTTCTTTCTTTTCTTTCTTTCTTTATTTCTTATTTATTTCTTTCTGTCTTTCATTTTTCTTTCTTTCTTTCTTTCTTTTATTTTTGTTTATTTCTTTCTTTTTCTTTTTTCTTTCTTTCTTTCTTTCTTTTTGTATTTCATTTCTTTCTTTTCTTTTTTACTTTCTTTCTTTCTTTATTTCTTTGTTCTTTCTTTCTTTCTTTCTTTTTCTTTCTTTCATTTCTTGTTTTCTTTCTTTCTTGGAATTCGATCTTTCTTTCTTTCTTTCTTTTCTTTCCATTTATTTCTTTGTTTATTTTTCTTTCGTTCTTTCAGTTTCTTTCTTTATTTTTTGTTTGTTCTTTCTTTCTTTCTTTCTTTCTTTCTTTCTTTATTTCTTTCTTACTTTCTTTCTTTGTCTTTTTTCATTTTTTTCTTTCTTTCTCTTTCTTTTTTGTTTTCATAACATAGATTTCTTTCTTTCCTCTTTTCTTTCTTTTTTCTTTCTTTTCTTATTCTTTTTTCTTTCTTTCTTTTCGTTCTTGTCTTTCTTTCAGTATCCTTGTTTTTCTTTCTTTCTTTCTTTCTTTTTCTTTCTTTCTTTTTATTTATTTCTCTCTTTCGGTTAGCCTCTTTTCTTTCTTTTCTTTCTTTTTGTTTATTTCTTTCTTTCTTTCTTTCTTTCTTTCTTTCTTTATTTCTTTCTTGTTTATTTCTTTCTAATTCTTTCTTTCTTTCTTTTTTTCTTTCTTTCTTTCTTCTTTCTTTATTTATTTTATTTCAATTATTTCTTGTTTTCTTTCTCTTTCTTTCTTTCTTTCTTTCTTTCTTTTTTTTTCTTGTTTATTTCTTTTTCTTCGTCTTTCTTTCCATTTTCTTTCTTTCTTTTTATTTGGTTTTTTTTTTCTTTCCCTCTTTAATTTCTTTTCTTTTCTTGTTTAACTTTTGTCTTTCTTTCTTTCTTTCTTTCTTTCTTGAAATCTTTCATTCTTTCTTTATTTTCAATACAATATTTCTTTCTTTCTTTCTTCTTTCTTTCTTTCTTTCTTTCCTTTCTTTCTTGTTTATTTCTTTTTGTCTTTCTTTCTTTCTTTCTTTCTTTCTTTCTTTCTTTCTTTCTTTATTTTTTGTTTATTTCTTTTTCTGTCTTTTTTCTTTCTTTCTTTCTTTATTTTCTTTATTATTTCTTTTTTCTCTTCTTTTTCTTTCTTTTCTTATTTCTTTCTTTCTTTCTTCTTTCTTCTTTCTTTCTTTTCTTTCTTTTATTTCTTGTTTTTTTTTTTCTTTCTTTCTTTCTTTCTTTCTTGTTCTTTCTTTCTCTCTTTCGTTCTTTCTTTCTTTCTTTCTTTCTTTCTCTTTCTTTTTTTTCTTTCTTTTCTTTTCTTTATTTCTTTCTTTCTTTCTTTCTTTCTTTCTTTTATTTATTTCTTCCTTTCTTTCTTTCTCTTTTTAA